ACGTAAATATGTGGAAGATATAGCAATGACGGCGGAAAAGGCTGCAAGAGAAAGAAACATGCGACGACTGTATGACATAACAAAGAAACTTTCTGGAAATCGCCTCAAACCAGAACGACCAGTCAAAAGCAAGGAAGGCGAGGTAATCACCAACATTGAAGAGCAACGAAACAGGTGGGTAGAATACTTCAAAGAACTCTTGAATCGACCAGTCCCACTGAACCCACCCAACATCGAAGCAGCACCCACGAACCTCCCAATCGATGTTGTCCCACCAAAAATTAAAAAGATAAGCATGGCCATCAGGCAAATCAAGAGTGGCAAGGCAGCAGGACCAGACAACATCCCAGCAGAGGCACTAAAAGCAGACGTAGCGGTAACTGCAAGGATACTCCACATTCTCTTCAGCAAGATTTGGGATGAGGGACAAGTACTAACAGAATGGAAAGAAGGAATTCTGATCAAAATACCGAAGAAAGGCGATCTCAGCAACTGTGATAACTACAGGGGCATCACTCTTCTCTCAATAACAGGAAAAGTCTTCAACAGGGTACTGTTAAACAAGATGAAGAACTCCGTAGACGCCCAACTTCGTGATCAACAGGCAGGATTCCGTAAGGATAGATCGTGTACAGACCAAATCGCAACTCTATGGATCATTGTGGAACAATCAATTGAATGGAATTCATCACTCCACATCAACTTCATTGACCACAAAGAAGCATTTGACAGCGTGAACAGAACAACACTATGGAAGCTTCTTCGATACTACGGCGTAACTCAGAAGATAGTCAATATCATACAAAATTCATATGATGGATTAAACTGCAAAATCGTGCATGGAGGACAGTTGACAAACTCGTTCGAAGTGAAGACCGGTGTCAGGCAAGGTTGCTTACTCTCACCCTTTCTCTTTCTCCTGGTGATCGACTGGATCATGAAGACGTCAACATCTGGGGAAGCACGGAATACAGTGGACATCTAGGATGCAGCTGGACGATCTAGACTTAGCAGATGATCTGGCCCTTCTATAGCAATCGCAACAACAAATGCAGGAGAAGACGAACAGTGTAGCAGCAGCTTCAACAGCATTAGGTTTCAATATACACAAAGGGAAAAGCAAGATTCTCCTATGCAACACAACATGCACCAATCCAGTCACAATTGACGGAGAAGATTTGTAAGATATAAAAACCTCTACATATTTGGGCAGCGTCATTGATGAACATGGTAGATCTGATGCAGATATGAATGCGCGGATCGGCAAGGCAAGAGCAGCATATCTACCACTGAAGAACATCTGCAACTCAAAACAACTTTCGACCAACACCAAGGTCAGGATTTTCAATACAAATTTCAAGGCAATTCTATTGTATGGGGTGGAAACCTGGAGAATTACGAAAGCCATCATCCAGAAGATTCAAGTGTTTATTAACAGTTGTCTACGCAAAATACTTCGGATCCGTTGGCCGGACACTATTAGCAACAACCAACTGTGGGAGAGAACAAACCAGATCCCAGCGGAGGAAGAAATCAGGAAGAAGCGCTGGAAGTGGATAAGACACACATTGAGGAAAGCACCCAATTGTGTCACAAGACAAGCCCTCACATGGAATTTTCAAGGTCAAAGGAGGAGAGGAAGACCAAAGAACACATTACGTCGAGAAATGAAGACAGACATGAGAAGAATGAACAACAACTGGATCGAACTAGAAAGAAAGGCCCAGGGCAGAGTGGGATGGAGAATGCTGGTCGGTGGCCTATGCTCCATTGGGAGTAACAGGTATAAGCTCAAGCTCATTATACTCATGAACCGATCCAATTTAGACAACCACTGGAAACCTGAAAGCTCTCGATTCCCCTTTTGTCATAGTATCGGACTTCTCAGTAGTGCACATCTACGATCATAGACTCGGAAATCGAAGTCGGTATCTTCGGTATCAGAGGTCTAGTGAAAAGCCGTGACTAGTGGAATTTAACCGTTCTGGGTATGAAGCAGTTACCCACTGAAAACAATGAAATATGATATCGCGATGTTGTGGATTTGTTGGGGACGTTAGATCCCCAGAACTCACTTGGGAAAGGACCTAATTTTGTAATTTTATTTAGAAAATTTGAATTTTTTTGTTTCCACGCCAAAGACGCTCTTGTCAGCTTCATGTCGTATTTCCCACTGGGAAATATCTTAAATGCTATTGTTCCGTTGAGTCTTTTAGTATGCTATTTGGTAACTCTCCCCAAGGACGGTTTTGTACTGCATATATACGTTTTGAATTGTTTGTTGTTATCGCTCGTTTCTGGCTGTTTGCTGAATATACTTCCCCATTCCAAGCTTGAACTTCTCCCTCTAGTTAGCGGGGCTGGGACGTATCAAATAGCTAGCTTACTGGTCTTTGGTCACTGAGTCTTTGTTCTCGTTCGCAGATTAAGTAAAGTCGTGATAGCTTCAACAATAGTAGGATTGATTAACATTATACATTAACACCGGCGGAAACCAGCTTACTGATCTGGAAGTTAAGCGTTCTCATATAAGACCTATGGTCCTGGGCTCGGTTTCTGAACACGAAGTTGTCGATGTCGATGCCTGAGGAGTTCCATACTATAATAAAATGGACGTCTAATCCTTCCACGTTTTCAATGGTTGTCTAACTTAGATCAGTTCATAGTTTTTATGAAATATTAATAATTGTTATTATCAGATCAAACATTGGTTTCAATGAAATTCAATAATCTTCACACCCCAAGCTAATTATTATCATTATTATTATTATTTTGAAACAAGATCATAGTTTTTCACCAAGTGACTTAATTATACTCTTTCATATTGAGAGTTAATTTTATGCTACTATTAAGTGATCACTTATATTTATAACAAATAATGTTAATTATGACCCTATGTACTCTACCTTAGAAAATGTAAGATTTTATGCTTAAGTGTATATTTATGTGTATGCACATGTTTCAACTCCAAGATTTATTTTATATTCATTCATTATTGTATATTTAGTTTATTCTCATGATTTCCTATCTCGTTTAAGAAATTGAGTTTGTTAAATTGTGTCAATCATCTTTTTTTCTTTCTCATACTCTATTATTCATTGTAAATTTAACATGTTTTTTGAAGTTGATGAAAAACTATGTAAAAACTTCATCTTATTCTACAAATTTGTGAGTGAAATAATTATTGCATGGTAAGATAGAGATTATCAAATAATTATACTTTTACATGTGGTATTCGTCATCGATTTCTCTCATCTATAAGATACTAATGAAAGGAAAATCCTTGTATAGAGTTCCTCAACAGAGTATACTCACAATTTCATCAGGTTTCAAAGAGAGTTCATGGTTATTCGACGACTTAATTGGCTCAAAACAGTACAAACTTTCAAATTCAGTCAATGTGTAGGATTATGTGAAACCTATTCATTAACACTAATGATATTATTTCACAGTTTTGACTTGGTTAAAATACTGAGTATGTAATCTAAATAAAAATGGAAATAAAAGGTATCAACTTGTTAAATATCATGAACAGTTCACTGAATTCTTACTTCAGAAAACGCAATATGAAAAATTAATACTTAGATTATCACAATAAATAGGTCTATCTAAATAATGATTTAAATAAAGTTCATCATCTAATTTTCTTTGAAAACCCAGAAAACTTTGAAAATACTACAAAGTTTGATCATGATCACTATTTCACATTGAATTATATCCAAATTTTAAATAAAAATCATTTTGTCTGCAGTTTACTTGTGAAGATGTGATATGTGGTGTCAGAGAGTTGATACTGATACACACTGCCTATAGATCAGCCCAGCTACTTGAGAAAAAAAACAGAGAGTGAGAAAGTTTTATTTGAATGAACCGAATTGATTGCATGTGCACTCATTTATGCGTATATATATATATATATATATATAATCCCTTGTAAATAAAATCAGTTTCCAGAGACTCTCGTTCATTTATCATTGTCCCACTGTGTCAGAAGATATATTTTCATACAGAATATCTAAAAATAAAGTGTAATTGTGCATTCCTTCTGTAGTTCACCGACATCATATTTGTAGAACAACTTAAGTAATGTCATGAATATTTTGCTTTATTTCATCATATTTTCAAATATCATTTCATGTAACACTACTCAATTTGAATTAACCAATTTTTGTATCTTTCCATTAATATTAATGATCATTTGTACATTCTGAGTTGAGACCCTAAAAACTGTCTGGTATTCTTAAGTATTTTAGCAAAGTTGGATGTTTGTGGGGCGAACTCTACTTAATTCAAATCATGATGAAAATTTCAACACTGAGATATAGGTCCATTCAGCTAATGGCTACTACTACTAATACTAATACTACTAGTTTACTATCTAACTTTACTTAAGTATTCAATTTTCGGAGAACAATTTTATCTTACATAGACACTAAAATCATCAATACGATTTAGTAACTACAGCAATCATCGTTGTTGACATCGTATTTCATCAATATTAATAATAATAATAATAATAATAATAATAGTAATAATAATAATAATGGTAACTAGAATAATAAATCTAATTAAACAACCTACATGTAAGGTCATTCATCATCATTTTCTATTCATAAAATCATCAAACAATATTCATCCTTAATTCTCATTGGTTAATACATGAAACTGTTTAAAAATATTGACTATCCATATGTCTATCTATCTATCTAGTTGATTTAATTAATGGTATCTAGTTGGATACAATCCAAGTAATAGGTGAAGTAAGTAGATACATAATTAACTGTTAAGAAAAATTTAAAAAAAAGAAAACAAGACTAATTTATAGACACATCTGACTAATAATGAAAATTGTCAATTCATTACACCATAAAAGATGATAACAATAATGTACACATACCAATTTTAAATTATTTCACTATTATTGGCATCATTAAAGAGAATACATTCATGGAATTTGTTGGTTATAACTAGTAAGCAAAGTATTATATGATCAGTGAAATATGGAGAGATTACAACAATTATTAAAACAGCAGTCATTGACACAAACACCCTTTCAACAACAACAACAACAACAGAAACAAATGCAGAATCAGTTATTCAACTCACAAAGCTATATGAATTCTACAAATTCCCATGAAAAACATGTTAATAACGAAGATGATGATGATGATGAATCATTACAAGAATTTTCAAAACCTAATAATAACCAAAGCCATCAACAACAAAAACAAACTCAATTACCACAACAGACATCGCCACCTATATACCAACAAAATTTTTCACAACAAGAACAACAATTAGAACAGTCAACCAAATCAGAGTTTTCATTTCGTCATCAATCACAAGCACAACAATCTTCTCAAGCATCATCGCTACAACCATCAATGGAGCAACCGTCGACATTGATGTCTTTGGAAAGTACTCAACAACAGCAACAACAACAACCGACTGATCAACCATTCAACCGAAAATTTCGTCAATCTTGGCGTAAAACTCCAGATAATTTACCAACTAAAGAATTGAAAAAAGCAACTAAATTACTAGATAATGATATTAGTTTACAAGATGACGATTATGAAGAAGAGGTGAGTAGACATATACAGGAAATCGTATATATATAAGTCATTTCGAAATGGGTTTAAAGTTTTTGTTTGTTGTTTGTTGCTATTAGTAACGAACGAGCTATTAGTTGCTTATTCAGTGAACTTATTTCTTTTACAGGTTTAATCTATCTACATTTATTGAATAACATTCAACCTATCAGAAAATGTCTAAATATATCAATTATTGTTATGATCATTCAATTGAAACAATGATAGATTGTTTTTTAAATGTGATAATTCTTGTTTATGTAATGAAAAGAGATTAAATGGAAGAAATTTATTCAATACTAGAAAAGTATTGTAGACAATTATCTGTCCCTTAAGAAATAGACTTTTTTTAAAAAATCTCTTCAAATAAAACTTTAAAAATGAGGCCGATAATAACCATAATGTGGATACAGTATGTTTTATGCCATAATTGATTTTTAGTCTGATTGGTATTTGACTAGCAACACAATCCAGAGCAGGTGTTTCGTTCTATTCAGAATTTATCAATTGAGTGTGCCCATCATGTACCAGTGTTAATAACTTGCTGGTGTCTGAAGTGAAAGTTACTAGTTATCAGCATTGAGATGTGGGTATAGCTCCTAAATAAAATGAAATAGGTTTCCTCATTTATATAACCAACCATATACTAAATATATGATCACTTTTGATCGGAAAATTTACTAAGACAATCTACTCAGAATGCACATACGACAATGGCGATTATCCAAATGGGAATTTATGAATCCCTACTAATTGAGTGATTGTTGTTTGAATTCGGAGAAATAAATTTCTTTATCTCTCATTGTGATTAGTAGAAAAGTTAAATTTTAACAGTTTTATTCCATACTATCTAAATGAGGAGGTTTATGGTTATTGTTTAAATTGTATTCCAAATTATACATAAATTTAATAAGATTAAGCTGTAAATGTAAACTTTTAAATGTCAACTCAATAGCATAATGATCGTGTGTGCTTTCCACAAAACCTGAAGGTGATTGATTCGACCATGTGTACGATCAAAAGTACTATCTGACTTTCTGTGATAATAAGTCAATGATGTAAACTGAAAATTATGATTTATCTACACCAAAAGTGAAAAAGAATGTATGAGTTGATATTCACTTGGTATTGTTTTACTTAAATCTTCCCATTGATGTTTAGGACTGCAATTGATCATTCACTTATTGGCATATGTGCATACTGTGCGTATTGCCTTAATTTACAAGCATATCATGCGTGTTCTGGATTCCACTGCCAGCCACTATCCATCTTTGCTTATGAGTTGCTATGTATAACTTATTAATTAACAGACTTAACTTATTTAAATTATTTGTGAATAATAATTGTGGTACATTTAAATTTTAGTTTTAATATACCAATATTTCAGAATTTCATCTTACTAAATTCAGTATAATATTATATAGTAACTTAAGTTTAATGGTATTCTTGTTCAATAAATAAATGATTCTTTATTGATTCAGTACTTAACATTCGCTTGACTACATTATAACCTTTTTTTCTTAACTTTAAGTTATTTAAGTCAATTAAAGCTAGACTATCATGGAAAACCTAGAAGTACTGGACAACCGTTTTGTCATAATATGTGACTCATCAGCAGTGCTCACCCACGACCTCGCTCACGGGATTCGAACCCAAGACCTACCGGTCTCACACGTGAACGCTTAACCTATAGACCAATAGTGTTAATGTCTAACTTCAACCACGAAATTGCGCCACCATCAACATTACAGGTTAAACGATTTTAAAACTATTGATTTATTTTGTCACTATAACTGACTTGGTTTTGTTTTACAAATCATATGACTACTAGAAAGTACATAAGTGTATTATTTTTAATAGAAGTAAATATCTATGACCAGTTTTCTCACTTTTATCCAATAGTTCAATAAAACTAATGTCAAGATAAGAAATTCAATTAAAATTATATTCATAATCTTACTGAAAGATTGTTTTATTTTTCAATGTTCAATTGTAAATAAAATACACTGGATAAAATAGCAAGATGATAATATCTGAACGAACCAATGAAATTAAAGATAGCATGTCTTGGATTTGGGCGCAAAATTAATTTATCTATATAATTAAATAGTATCAGAATGGGTTTTGTGGAGATTTTAGAAATGTCACTGGTTGAAATCATGAGTCAATTGAAGCTAGACTATCATGGCAAACGTGTAAGCACTAGACGGCCGTTTCATCCTAGTATGGGACTCCTCAGCAGTGCGCATCCGCGATCCCGCACCCCGCGAGATTCGAACTCAGGACCCATCAGTCTCGCGCCAGGCGCTTAACCAACTAGACCACTGAGCCGGCCGGCATCCAACGGTGTTAATGTCTAACTTCAACCAATCCACGAAGTTGCGCCACCGTACACCATTGTCTTCAGTGAGTTACTATCTCACAACAGACCTGGTTGAACTCCACTAGTATATTTCATAACTTTTTATTAAAGAATGATTTTCTATGGTAATGATAACATGAAAATGTAACATATTTGACTCATTGTTTGATTGAAGAAGAAAGCTGGTAATTTAGCGAAGTAAACTTTCTTTTCAACTATTTCATTTACTTTAGGTGTACAATCATATTTTTACAGTGAATTTTATTTGCTAGAATTGTAGTCTGTGGACTAGATTATACGATTGTATTGTAATGAACAAAAACACAAACGGGGACAAGTAACTGTATTCGAATACAAAATTACAAAATCACTTAGTAAAGTCCGTACACCATACAGTAAATACTTCATTTCCAAAATGTTAATCAATTGTCTCAGACTTGATTGTACCTTTGTTTCTTTACCAGTTACTTTCTGTTCTCATTCTCTTCTTTTTGATCTTCTTAACTTTGTACCGCCATGTATTTCATATTCGATGAATGAAACATACTACTTACATTTGTCGATATCAGTAGCGCACACCGCAGTATAGCTGATATAAGTGAAATCGTCAAACTTTTCTCCTCTGAATTGCATTCTTCTTTTTCTTTAACAAAATAACTGTTTGATGGCTTTCTTCTCGTTTTAAATACATAAAAAGAACTTGTATATATCTTTTATGAGTATGATTTGCTAGAGAGTATCTAAACTGTTATTCATATGGGGCAAATTACTATTATCAAATATAGAAATTGTTCATAATAAACGTAATTTATGATTATAATGACTAGAATATTTTAAAAATGATTATATGTATCTATGTAAACGTTATTATTAGTATTATAGAAAAAAAAGTTTTTTTTGAAAATTGAAAATGAGTTATTTAATCATATGATCAAGTGAAGGAATTCTTTAATCGCCAACGTTTACATGTATATTGACAAACGTACATATATTACATATAAGTTACATTAGCTATTTAGGTCATAAGTAATCACACATCATAGTTGTCATGTTATTATTATTATTATAACTATTAAGTTTGAAGTTAGAATGAAAGGAGAAAAAATATTGAATTGTTAAGTGATATTCATTTTATTATCATCATTAAAAGGAGTCAGTATTCGGATAAAGAAATAGAAATATAACTTCATATGATATATGATAGTTAAAAGCTAATAATGCTTTTATATTGTATCTGTCTACCAGCCAAAAGCCAAGTATACTACATAGTTGTTTGTTCAGTTCTACTTTATGACTGTGAAATATAGTCTTTAAAAATGGAAAATATTTGTGGATTAAGAGCATTTGATCATCAGATATATTCGAAATACTTTACGGCTGCGAAACATGGCCATTAAGAGTGGAAGATACACATAAGCTACTAGTATTTGATTACAGATGCCTTAGAAATATTACTCACATCTGCTGGGATCACCGTGTAAGTAATAGTGAAGTTAGACACAGGGTATTAGGGATGATGGTAAATCAGTTGATGAGGTTATGAATCTTCATCGACTGAGATGGTTGGGCCACGTGTTGCGTATGCCTGAACACCAGTTACCACGACGCACAATGCTAACTGGTGTTAGGGATGGTTGGAAGAAAGTTAGGGGTGGCCAAACCAAAACGTGTCAGCAGTGCTTAAAGTCACTCATTTCTAATCTGAGCCATGTTGGTAGATGTAGACTACTTGGTTGGGGTCCACGTGACTATCGTAACCAATGGTTGGAGACTCTTGGTGACATGGTTCAGAATCGGTCACAATGGCGTCGGTGTATACAATTTCTGTCTTCCCTTAAACTAAGAGATTAAAATCGCTTCATATTTTTCTTTCTACGAACCAATTTTTTCTTCTTGTACTATATCTCTATATGCAATCTTTCTCTTATATATTACCACTTTTGACCTAACCACTGCTATGAATCCGGTGTTCATCTTGTTATGCTGATGCGGTATGGCAACCTGGACCGATGCATATATGTGCCTGGTCCTATGTTGTAGCTGACTGACTGACTGACTCACTCACTCTGGCTACAACATTCAGTTTCATAGTTTAACATATTCTAATCTATTATTTGCATAAATTTAATGTGAATATACCAACTTATTCAGATTCAAGTTTATTTTCAAAGATGTACAACTGTATAGGAATAATAGATTATTTTGAAAACAGTCTAATATCTTTAGATAGATTTGATAGAAGCTAGTAACAGAATTGACAACATATAGTTCATCCTATTTTGAACTCGTCATGTAGATACATTTATCTTACTGTAATGTAAATCCTTATCTCAAGTCTAAATATACTTATTGGTCCATTTTCAACAAATCAGTTCTAGAGGATGGGTCAATAACTTACCAGAAACCTCTCATGTTTTTTTATATATTAAACCCTTGTATTCTTACTGCAGTATCCTTGTTGTTCTATCTTATTAGAACACATTTTTTTCCTATTCAACTGTTGTTATGCTATGGCAACTCGAACTGATGTACGTACGTACGAAGTTCTACTTTGTTACTGATTGAATGACTGACTGACTGACTGAAGATTCCAAAAACGTCATGAAAAGATGCAGTGACGAAATAAGCAACA